CTTGGTAAAGCCCATGAACTGAGTGATCAGGGTGAAGGAGCTGATGGACAAAGGAGCTGAGACCCCCAAGAATTGGGAGGATTTGGATGGATGAAGGTAGAGCATTAGAGTCAGGGCCAAGAGGATCTTGCCAATCTGGCTGGTGAACAATGACTCCCCCAAATTTTCTCCTTAAGTTAGGTAAGCAGATGTCTCCTGGCATCTTATTCCAGTGTACACAGAAACCCGTTGACATCCGGTTCTATTCCAAATTACTTTTACTTCCCTTTAATCTCAGAGCTCACTGGGCAGGATGGGGTGGAGGTGAGTATTCTGCAGAACCGGGCTGTGCATGATGGCGAGAACACAGATACCTGTGCTCTCCTCCTTAGGATCGATTATGGAGTACAAGGTGGTGGGAGATGGAGAAGCCTGAGTGAAGCTTCCTTTTCCTCCTGAGCCTTTCTGTGGCTAGATGGGCTTTACACAGAAGAGCAGGCACCACTGATTTTCCTCGCCAACTTGAAAAGCTTGCTTATTCTCACTTCCTGCCTTCCATTGCATGGCCACTCTGGACTTCCTGCCTGCTCAAAGTGCCATTCTCCAAGCTGAAAGCAGTTAAGTATCAGGAAGAAGTCCTCCTCTCAAATCTGAGAGCCTCAGAACACTTCCCTAACTGCAGGGTGTATGTCATGGCAGGGCTGGGCTGAGAGGGCAGCGTGCGGGTTTCAGAAGAGGTCTGCCACGCCATGTGGTCACCTCCTGGGCAGGCGGGAATCGAACTCATGCGGAAGTGGCCTTAGCTTCTCAGTGCTGTGCTTTAACCTGCTGCGCCACCAGGGAGGGCCAGGGCTGGGTTTTTGAACAAACCTCAGAGTAGGGTTTCAGCTAGGATATGTAAGTGACAAATGATTTCTGGTCTGAAGAGACATCATAAACTTCCTCAAAAAAAAAATATATATATATATAGGAAAAAAAAGTGAAAAGGGAAACCTTGGTAGTGAAGAACTGGAGGTCTTCCTAGTATGTCAGAGCAGCCACTGTGTAATCCTTGTGGCTCATTCTGAAGTGCCCTCTGGATCCCACACTGTCAGCTCCTAGTTAGAATTCTTAACTGGGGTTTGTGTGTGACAGGATGTAGGATGTATGTGTGCTTAAATGGATGCAGAACGGGGCCATCGTGGGCCCAACGGCTCCCTCTCACCTCCACCTTTGAGAAACACTTTTCTCACGTCTGCTCATCTTGACTGGTTGCTTGTACAAGATGGTGGATTAGTGGTATCTAGATCAGCAGACCCTTGGAGAGACCCCCAACGGGATTCTCTCAGGTTCACATCAGGGAACTTCTTTGTGCAGCTCCTGGAGCCTGACTTGGGGGGATTTCAAAACCCTGGGGTTGAGTGGCTTTGGAAAAAGTTACTCATGCTGTAGTGCTCTCAGGCATTTGAAAAGGATGGAAATTTCAGATGGTTCTTTCCCACTCAGCATTGCTCTTTTAGAAGGGTTATGCGGGTGACTGGAACTTGGATAAAAGCAGTTAAAAGTATGTAAGCCAAAAGACAATATAGATTTCACAGGACTCCTTTTTCAAGATAGGAAATTGCTGAGTTGTTTTCCTTTGGTAATTGAAGCCAGAATTTAATGTTCTCTTTATTTCCTTTTGGATTTGTTGTTCTTTAAAAATTATTTTGCCAGTTTTATAGGACATAATGGCAATCTGTCCTTCTTCTGCTGTCCTCTATCCCCACTTCCCACAGCTCTGTGCTGTTGACTGTTCTGTGTACAATACCCGTATACAGAGAATACCCTCAGATAGTGAAATCCCTGAAGGATGGGATAGGATGTCCTTTGACCTAGAGAACATAGTGACCCAATTGGCTTATTCAAATTAAAAAATATTTAAATTGTGATAAAACACACATGCACACTTGCATACACACACACACTTTACCCTCTCAACCATTCTTAAGTGTACAATTCAGTGACATTAAGTTCATTCACCTTGTTGTGCAAGCAGCACCACCATCCATCTACAGAATTTTCTCTTCTGAATTGAAACTCAGTTCCCATTAACACTATTTGTCCCTGCACAACCCCTGCCCACCTCCTGCCATTGGCTACCCAGTCATTCTGTGTACTTTATATGAGTGGATTAAAATTTGTGCTTTTGTGACTGAGTTAATGCCCTCATGGCTTATCTACATTATAACATGTCATAATTTCCTTCTTTTTTTACAACTGAATAATATTCCATTGTATGTATATGCCACATCCATCTCATCTGTCAGTAGACACTTGGGTTGTCTCCTTTCTTTGGCTGTTCAGTAATGCTGCTGTGATGATGGATATTCAGATATCTTGTTGAGACCCTGCTTTCAATTCTTTTGGGTAAATCTTGAGAGATGGAATTGCTATACCATGTTGTGTATAGAACAGGCAGATTGACGAAGCACACTGCTGAGGGGAGCAGTGGGTGGGTCAGGAGAGGTCTACCACGCCATGTGGTCACCTCTGGGGCAGGCGGGAATCGAACTCATGCGGAAGTGGCTTTAGCTTCTCAGTGCTGTGCTTTAACCCCTGCGCCACCAGGGAGGGCCAGTAGTTCTAATTTAAGGGTTAATCAATAACACTTATTACAGAAGCGGGAATTAATTTAAGACAGGAGCCTAGAGTAGACTCAGATGTCAGTGGGCTTCTACATACACTGGAATAAGGTACCAGGAAACACCTGCTTACCTAACTTAAGGAAAAAACTGGGGAAGTCAATGTTAACCAGTCAGATCAGCAAGAATCCTATCAGTCCTGACTGATGTTCTATCTTCTACCTTCATCCATCCAGAGTCTTCCCATTCTTGGGTACCCAGTCCCTTCCCCATCAACTCCTCTGCCCTAAGCAAGCAGCTCGTGGGGCTTTCCCAAGGATCCACATCACTCTTTTGCCCCATTATCAACATCTGGGACTGGTAGTTGCTCTTTTTGAGAGCCATCTATTTTCAGTAGCCTTTTGCACTCCCACCTACCATGTGTGCTGATTCCATTTTTTGTACATCCTCATCAATCCTGTTGTTTTCTGTAATAGCCATTGTGATAGCTACTCTATTTGGGCCTATTCATGATTCTTTCTCTTTATTTTCTGCACATTTCATTATGCCCTTTTCTGCTGACTCCAACTTTCCATGGCCTTTGCTGTTAAAAAAAAAAAAAAGAAAAAGAAAAAATTCTTTCTTCTAACTTCTTGCCATTTCAAGTTATGCTAACAGCTACCCTTGGGTAGAGAAAGTGCATGTGCTGTAGAATTGATGTAGGCCTCTGCTCAAACTGAAATTTTGGGAAACTGTGATCTAGGAGTTCTAGGTCATACTCAAGTCTTCTGGGCATGATTTTATTATTTATAAGCTGAAAATAGTATCAGGCTCCTAGCATTGTGTTACATGCTCCTCCCTGCCTTTGCCTTGACTTCTCTCAGCTCCTCATAATCTTTATTTCCATCCCTCCCTTCACTGCACACTGTCAAGATCTCAGATTCTATGCTCTTAACTGCTCTATTATCCTACCTCTTTGAAGCATCAGCATTTTACATTGGGACCCCGCTTCCTGGGGTCCCAGGTGTTGGTATGCCCAGTGGATGGCAGAACATGTCTTGTTCCCGGGTGCTCGCATTCTGGAACAGGTAGGTAGCCTGTGCTCCTTTCCCCGGTGCTTTTTATGACACCTATTTCAGAGAATGGTGTGTGCCATGATGGCAACTGTTGGGTCCTTTATACCCGGTGATTTCTATTGACCTCAGCAAAGATCCTGGCACCATCTGTATTCTAGAAGACATAGCAAGGTGTGCAAGCCTGCAGTGAGCCTTTGTTCTGCTTTGCTCCTCAGGCTGCAATACCTATAGATGTGTTTAATACTGTCAGTCTTATTTCTATGTCATCAGAGTCCAGAGAGTTTATATTGGTCATTTGACAACTCATGGGGTTTTTGGAAAGTCAAATTCTCTGAGTTTCAGTTTCCTTAACTCTAAAAGGAAAATCGTAATTCCTCTTCTGTTGTGTCACATGATTTTGTCAGGGAACAAATGAAATTAATGTAGATGAAGATGCATTATGATTAACATAGTGCTATGCAGTGTGCAAATACTAACCAATACGTACTATGAGTCTCAGCTGCCGTCCTAAGCTATCTATATCTAACAACTCATTTAATTTAATGCTTATAACAACCACCCAATCACAGGTACTGTTAATATTCCCTTTTTGCTGATAAGGAAACTCAAGCACAGAAAGGTTAGGTAACTTGTGGAAAGTCACTCAGCCAGCAGACAACCATTTCAACCAGCCAAGATCTCAGATCTGTGCTCTCAACTGCTACACTGTCCTGTCTTTTTGAAGTGTCAGCATTTTTCATTGTTTCTATTCCTCTTGCATGGCTGGCGGTGGGGACTGGAGGGGAGAAGAACACAGCCTCCGAGTTGGAGAATTCATAAAGCAGGCCCCCCTGTAGTCTACTGCGTGGGATGAATTGATGGACAGAAATTGTGTCACAGTCATGCAGGGACATCAATAGCTCAGATAATGAAAACTGACTTATTGTTCAATGAGTAGCAAGAATAAGTGATTTGATCTCATTTCGAGGAGTGCTGTGGCATTCTGGTTTCAAGTCATTTGCTTTCTCTGGGCTCATTCTGTGAAGAAAATGCTGATGCGCCTAAAAGACCAACAGGAATGATGGCTGGATTCAGGAAGGGCTGCTGAGGTTGTGTGTCCTGTCTGCATGCCGACTGTTTGGCAAAACTCACAACAATGCCAGCCGCTCTGCCAAACAGGGGTGCCGAGATGCTGTGTTGTTTCTGTATGATCAAAGCAAACACTTCCCAAGGATCATCAGAAATTTTCATAGGGAGTTGACCCTGTGTTCACTGAGCCAGAATCTCTCCTGGACAAGTGCACCAGGGATGTTCTGCAAATGCAGTTCCAGTTGACTCAGTGAGAACTGTGTATTTATGGCACCATTTTCTCTTTTTTCCCCAGACAACCAGGATTGCATACCACCTGCAGCATCTTTTCGGAGGAGGAGACTGCCACGGAGGCCGGGCTACATGAGAAGCACAGCTGGGCCCCAGATCAGGTTCCTCTCCTCAGCAGTGGGCACTCCATTCTGGGTCCAGGGAGGGGTTTGTAGTGAGGAGTCCAGGGCTGCAGGCTGTGGCCTTGACTCTAGAAGCCAGTGGCAAAGTCCCTCTGTTGGGAACCCTGTCCCCAAGGGCACAACAGCCTCCATCCTGACCTCTGGGGGCCACCTCCGCCTGGCCCTGAGCCCTGTGAGAGGAGCCACGGGACTCTTTGGGATTCAGCTTCGAGCTGCCACCAAACTTCCCAATAGGCTAACCAGGTCATGTGGCCCTGGGGACATTGGCTGTCAGAGGGAGCTTCCATCCATGGAGGATGCTGAGCCCCGAGACCTGGGCTGTGATGCAGCCTGCAGCGAAGGAGCAAGGGATACCTTGACAAAAGGCTCTCTGACCTCAGAGGAGGTGAGTAGCAATAGCTGCAGCCTTGGAAGTGACCTCAAGGCCCCCTCAGCTCCGGAGGGCTGTCAGGATGCCTTCACCTCCAACTTTAGCTTCATCCGGCTCTCACTTCACTCTGCTGGGGAACGTGGAGAAGCAGAAGGCTGCCCACCATCCAGAGAAGCTGAAGCCCCTTGTCAGAGTCTAGAGGAGATGGCAACCAAGGCTGCTAGCTTGGAAAGGCCTCATGGGGACCCTCGACTTTTCTCTCCGTCCTTCAGTCTCAACTCAGCTCAGGGCCCAGAACACTGTGTGCAGGCCGCAGGGGGCAGTCCCAGTTTGGCTTGTGAGAAACTTGCTTTATTGGCTGCTGACACTGCCTCTTCCTGCTCCCCGGATCCCTCCTGGCTCCAGGGTAACATCTCGGGGGATGCCCACCCCTTGGACCTACTTTTCAGGAAATGTGAGTCTGTGCTACTGGACTGCCTGCTGAGCCACCGGAGGCAGCTGGAGGTTGGTGTCTGCGCAACCTTTGGGGCCCCTAGATTGTCATAAGCCCAGATTAGCTCTGGGCAAAGGGCAGGAAATGAGTGGTTCTGGGTAGACCAACTTCCTCCCTAGAAACTGCAGCAGCTCCTTTTGTGGCCGACTGTACAGAGATGTTGCTGCCCTCTGTCTCTTGTTTCACTTTGAACAATCTGTTCTCATTAGATGCCCGCGTTTGCTCAGGCTGCAGGCTCCTGCACCGTTGCTGGCCGGGGGGATGCATGTGCAGGTTAGCTCAGCCCCGCTCTGCTTTGTAGCAGGAAACTGGGGCAGGGATGGAGGGAGGTGAACTGGCCAAAGTTCAGAAGGGAACAGGTGATATGAAGATGTTGACTCCCACATATTGGGGCTGATCTTGAGCATCACACAAACTTCTTGGCCCTTAGTCTCCTTAGACAGCGGTAACGCTGCACAGATGGCTCTGTCACCCACATAAAAACAGAAACGCTTTGGAAATGAGCACAGATGGATAAATATAAGTCCAGTGCCATGACCTTGCTGCTCTCCGCTTGTCTGAGAGGCGGCTCCATGGGCGCTGGCATCATTGCTCAAGCCTGTAAGGCTCCCACTGACCCCCAGGTGGAACTGCTTTGTGGCTGGCCCAGGGGTGGAGGCTCATTCTCTTGAAAGCTGTCTTCCTCCTGGGGTGTGTGGTCATGTTTGTATCTGCACTTGTACATATACTCACGGGCAGGGATGTCGAGCACTGTTCTTCATGAGCACCTGAGGAGCTAAGTTCACATTCATTCCCATCAAGCAGATTCATTTACTTTCAGTTCTTTCCCAGTAGCTTGAGTTTCCTGTCCTTCCGTCTTGCCTTGTGCTGGCCCACAGGGCCCCTCCACCTGCCATCTGACTTCCAACTCGGGTAAACAGCAAAGCCAAGCTAGACAAGGAGGTCTCTACTCCCAGGTGGTGCACAGAATCCTCGAATTTTATGCAGCCCAAACAGAAGCCATTGTCGCCTCCACCCAATCTACTCAAAAGGGCCTTACTCTTGATACATACTTGCTGATATGAGTGTAAAGAATCTGTGCATTTCCTAAGAGAAGCAGCGGTCTTTGTCATCTTTCCCTGTCCCTCATTCTCTGCATGTGGTCAGCCGTGCTCCAAGCCCTCACAGTCCCGTGGCCAACCAGCCTCTCACAGCTGTGGCCACTCCCTTCCTTTGCATTCTTCTTATCGTTCACTGGGATTTTGCAAGAGATTTTTGACATATTTACCTTCTCTCAGTGTCTCTCTTAGTCCAATTTGTCCTCCCCAGGGGCAGTAGTTACCTTCTGAAAGGCTGGTGGGATAGTGTGGTCCTGTGCCCTGTGTGACTCTTGGCTCCTCTCGGGATAGTTTGCTTGTTCCTTATTCTGCTCATGGAGACTTTCCCCAGCCTGCTCCAATGCTGGCACAGCCATCTGAGACTGCTTCCTTTCCCGAAGACATCAGGGAAAGCTGTCCCTCAGTCTTAAGCCTACAGCTTTCCCTCTGCCTGGGATGATCTTCCTACACTTGCCCTATGTTATCCCGTAGGTGTGACTCCAAGGTGTGTTCCTGTAGGACATTTCAGAGCAAATGAGGGCTTCCTTCTGTTTCTGACAGCACTCAGGACAGGCCCCGTTACAGCACTCACTGACCCTAAATGTCAATTTTCAGCACCTTGTGTCGGAGATCTTATAAAAAATCTCTACAACATATCTGTGTTTCTCTATCTCCAAAATCCAAGCAAGAGAAGCAAAGCAGAACACATTCTGCTTAGTATGACTGGCTCCCTTTCTTCCTAAATAACCAACCAGAGGGAAATTCTCCTTGGCAATGATTCTACTATAGTTCTCAAGAATCATCTTCTGGGTTTTGTACCAATAGTTTTTTTTCCTTTTACATTCACTTGGCTCTATGTCCCTTCTTTCTGAGAACCTAGACTTTCAGATAGGCTGGAATCTGTGCAACCCTGAGCAGTGTGACTCTGGGGAACCAGCCATGCCCCGAGTTCACCATGCCAGCTCTCTATTACTGGGTTACGGGAGGACCTGGGAGCTGGAATTCTAGTGACTGTGACTGGGGAGAGCCACTGCTCACTGAGACATAAGCAGACTATAATATAATTGAAAAGACAAACTTTTTTTGTGTGTATTACTTTTTTTTATTAGAAAAGACAAACTTTTATCTAAGAATAAGATTCATGATTTGGACTCACAACCTTGAGGTGTCCCAGGTGTGCTCCATCAGGGCCAGGGCTCAGGGTGGTTTTAAAGAGGAGGATGAACTAAGGTGAAGTCTGTTTTTTTTAAAGATGTATTTATTTATGCATACAGAACTGAGGTACAGGCCAGAGGTGTAGGGGTGAGAGGTTCACCAGAAGCAGAATGAGGAGCAGAACAGGCAGACTTACGATGTACACTGCTGAGGGGAGCAGTGGGCAGGTCAGGAGAGGTCTGCCGCGCCATGTGGGTCACCTTCCTGGCCGGGGATCTAACTCATCTCTTGTGGTAGTTACAGACAAGTTGGAGATTGTTTGATTCAAAGTAGGTCCCATGCTATCTTGACTCATCTTTTATTTTATTAATTTAAAAAATTGTCTTTTTAAAATCAAGGTAATGTTAGTTTAAAACACTGCATGTCACTACACCACATCTACCCCCTTTTAGATTTCTTGATGTTTAATTGTAAAAAGAAAACCAACCTTAGACTTATTCCTTCCTTTCTTGTTTATTGCCTAACAGCACCCTTTAGAAATAAATAGTTGGTCACAACCCACTAGGGAGTTGTTTCACGGGGAAGGAGTGTCAGGTTGCTGGGGTTTGTGCCCGAAGCTTGCCTGGCCTGTACTACCTGCTACAGGAACTCTGGGGGAGCAGCCTGCTGGGTCCCTGTGAGCTGTCCTATGGAGCCTGCAGCATGGTGGGTTAGTGGGAGGGTAGCCTGCTGCTCTCCCTGCCTAGCTATGTGACCTGAGGCTCTCACTTAATTGTTCTGTGGTTCAAGATGCTCTCGTCTAAGGCAGCGGTAATGTTATTGCATTGCCATGAGGATTTGATGTGGTCATCCAGGGTGGCTGAGTCTGGCCCTACACAGGTACCCGGAGCATTGCCTATTATTAGCCATAAGAAAATAACTCAAGATTAATAAAATTTGGGTCAAAGAAAAAGAAAGGAAGCCTTCTCACCAAAGGAAGCTCAAAATTAAACTCATATCTCAAAGGATAGGCTCTGGGCAGTTTATTTATAACTTAAGTATTATTGTTTATGGTAATTTAACATCTGGACAGGGGAACACATCGTGCCATTTTCAATTATGTGAATGTCTCTGTTGTATGGAAAAGGAATTAATTTTATTCAGAGTAGTGGGAGTGAGGGAAGGATCTTACCCAGGGCAGAGGGTTTATGAGGAGACAGATTTTGTTTCAGTAAGAGGGAGAAGCTCCATATAGCTGGGTTGTGAGAGATGAGAGGACCATGGGAAGGACCTGCTATTTCTATTATGTCTGTGGAGAGGCCCCAATTTGCTCAGTTGGGCTACTCAGGATTGGGGAGCTGGGCTAAGGGTCTTCAAAAGAATCCTTTGAAAGACTGGGATTCTAGATATTATATCATGAGTCCTTAATTCCCTCTCTCTTCTTAAAAATGCAAAGCTTAGAAATTTGAATTATAGCTCCTTCTAAAATACTGCAGCCCCTTAGTATTGGTGGATTCTATATTTGAGAATTTGCTTTCTTTCTAAAATGTAATGGTATCTTCAATGTTGATGTTGGCATTGCTTTCCTGGCCATCTGTGGACGTGTGCAGAGTGGCTGAAAAGTCGAGTCACACACGCACGCTCCCAGCTAAAGTCAGACAAGGCAACATCCTGCTTTCTTGTGTCAGGTCTCAGAGCCTTTTTGGTGGTCTATTTAATGTTGTGCTCATCTTGTTTTTTGTGCTTTTTGTTGGTGATTTTACTGTGTACAATGGCCTCCAATCACAGCCCTGCAGTGTCGTCTGGTGTTAAGTCTGAGAAGGCTGGGAATTAGGTTGTAGAGGCTGGTGGAAAGGAAAGATATTGCCTGCCACACCTGGGATGTGTCACTAGCAAAGATAGCTGCTCCAGCAAGATGAACATTCAGGCATATCCAGGGCACCCATTCAGGGCACCTATCTCATAGCAGGGATAATTAGCCAAGAGGGGTAAAATGAGGTGGGCATTGGTTGTAAATGAACTTTTCTTTGACCTGCTTTAGTATATAGAATTCTGCTTTGGTTCTAGTGAGCGTTTATTACTGCCATTATTTGGATGTGGTGATGGTGATCCTATAGCTTTATGTAGCAGTTCTATCTACCATACAGCCTTTTCCCCTGCTCCTATCTTGAAAGACTAAGTAACTGGTAAAATTTGCAGTTATAAAGATGTTAACATGATCACTCATTCTTTCATTCAGGAAGTATATTCCCATTAGTACTAGGGCAACCTGTTGGCTTTGAGCACTATACTAGTTAGCACTGGTCAGTGATAGCAGAAAATATCAGGGGCTTAGTAAACCAGAGTTGTAGGCGTCATAGGAGCGTCTGGTGAAGTCCTTGTCATGCTCACTCAGCCTTCGGGACAGCCTGGTGAATTTAAGTTCGTGCTGTTCTTTTCTTGGTTTCTTTCCCATTTTTTTATATGTTTATCCTCATAATTTTAATGTGATTTTTATAACAGAGACCATTTGGTCAGGTCAGGAAATCTGTATTCCTTTTTATTATGCATTTTCCCCCCATGCAGATAAGGGTACAGTGTGATGTTTTGTTTAAAATAACATTCTAACTCTGTGGATTTTATGCTCAAATTACACTTTTTCTTTATATAACATTTTTTAGAGAAATGGATGCATCTGGCATCGGAAAATTGTACATTTGTGGTTCTTTTTTTAAAGAAGAATAACGAAATTCAGTTTCTAAAGAGTTTCTAAATGTCTTAGCTTTAACAAAATGAGTTTGCTTGAATGCTCTTGTAATGTGGTTTTTATTTCCCCCCCTTCATACCAACATAGGTAAAATCATTAAGATTAAATCTGCAGAAACTTCAAGAAAAAGCAATTGAGGATGATGATTATGATAAAGGTGAGCATAAATTTATTATTCTTTTTTTCCCATTTTCCTTTCTTTCTTCACTCATCTCTGTCTTCCATACCCAAATGAGTAATGAAATCTGTCCCTCTGATCATCTCCACTCAGTAGCAGTTGACTAATTTACAACACTATCATTTAGTGGATTTAAAAAAAGATTTATTTTTATTTACTTTGTGCATATAAGATCTAGGGTATAGCGAGAGGTGTGGAGGGGGGTGAGCAGATTCACTAGAAACAGGGTGGGGAGCAGAACAGGCAGATCCACTGAAATACACTGCTGAGGGGAGCAGAGGGCGAGGCAGGAGAGGGTCTGCTGTGTCATGTGGGTCAGCTCCCTGCCTGAAGATCTAATTCAGATCACAGTGATGGGTGGATAGTGCTGGCTGAGACTTAAGTCCTATGCCACCAGGGAGGTCCTGTTCAGGCATCTTTTTAAAAGTTTTATTTTATTTTATAAACATTTTAAGTCATTTTTCATTTTTGTGCAATGCATGCATTCCCCTTTCAGGCAATCCCTGCAGAATTCCGACCCCCAATTTACCCATGCATTGTCACCATAGTCCTGTGCAAGAACACATTCCCTCTCCTGTTTGGATCCTTCCCCATGCCTCTCCCCTGCATAGTGTCTCTGATTAATAGTTACCTGTTAATTTTGTTTTTAATTTATTATAATTATTATTTTTTTCCTGGTCCCTTCTTTCATTTAGTGAATTTTAAAATACTATATGAGCTTTAAATTAATCCTGTGGGTTATAAATTAATCCTGTGGGTTAGAAGTTTAATTTTATTGCTTCTCTAGAAACATGTGGGACACTTTTGTATGTTTTTTATATTAACCCTCCATCTGTCTGCCTAAGGTGTGAGATAGTTATAATTTACTCATTCATCAAAAGATATTTATTGTACATCTATTATGTGCTAAGCAATGTGGCAGGAAGAGGAAAGGAAGGTAGACACCATATCTGACCTCAGAGTGCCTATAAATACTTCATGCTCTCTGGGCCCAGACTTAGGGAGTGGAATGAGTGAAGATGCATGGCTTTGACAAAGGGATCAGATGTATGGGATTACCACTGCCAACGACCTGTGTACTAAAAATAGTAGTGTGAGGCCAGAAGATAAGCAAGTCAAGAAGGTAGGAAAGAATGGTTAAAGCGAGGCGCCAAAATAGGAGTTGGGCCAGATGCTGATAAGGACTGACCTAGCAGCTAAGTGGGTGACAGGGTAGATTGAGTCAAGGAAGAACCTCAGGTCTGGATGGCATGGGCAACATCTTATGGATTTTTGCATGGTGATTGCAAGTTTTTACCCCCATTTATGCTGGACATGGGAAAATGAGAAGACTTAAAATGAATTCCAGTTCCCCCTGACACTTACGTACTTGGTAGATACTCCTAATGATAACCAAGTTTAGCACACCCAGGTCTGTAAATAGAATGTAGATGTAAGGATTTTTCTGTAATCTAGTTAGGGGTCTTCAACCTTACTGGCCCATATTCTGGTATTCCCAATGAATATGTGAAGCTGGAACACTACAGGAATGGTCACCCAGAGCTGATCCTGTTTAGCGTTTTTATTTCAGAGATTGTTAATCTGGGGTTTAGAAAGTGATGGGGGTGTGGGAGGAAGGGGAGGAATTCTGGAACTCTGAACAATCCCATTTCCCTTTCTCTAGTTTGTCTTGATTTCATAATGATGCTAGGTGGAAGATGGGAAGGGTGAGAAAGGAGGCAAGTCTGGGGCAAGAGAAAGTCTATTTCTGCCCCTCAACCCTGTGAATAGCTGGGGGGGGGAGGGGAGAGAGAGAGAGAGAGAGAGAGAGAGAGAGAGAGAGAGAGAGAGAGAGAGAGAGCGAGAGAGCGAGAGAGCGAGAGAGCAAATGAATGATTGCTGGAGCAGGGCACCTGATTACTCTTGTCTATGAAAGACAATTAAACCTAGTTTTGAGGTTCCCCTCGATTGCATAAATTTATTTGCTCTGCCATGGACTGAGTCTTGATCCCTTTACCTTTAGCAACAGAACATTGGCTGTAGCACACAAAGCTTATGGCACAAGTAGACAACCAAATCTTCTTCTTTTGATTGCAAGCTGGTGAGCTTTCTGGAATTGGTTCTCTCAATGGTCTTCATTAAGTGAAGACCTTACTTCGTTGGGCTCTTCTTCATATGTCTTTGAAATACATAAGGGAGCAAAGCTGATCAGGATATTATGCAAAAAGAACAAAGACACCTTTACTTAGTATTCCTGCCTTTTTTTTCTTGCTTATATATCTCTGACTACTGAGTAGACTAGCATTCTGTGCTTTCTCAAGCCTTCCAGGTGACAGGGTGCATGCTGACGACTACAACTACACACTGAGCAGGGCTTTACTAGATCTAGGCCTTTGGTAGGGCAGCTTGCTGAAGCCTGGAGATACGGCTCAGCCTTGAACTCTGTCACTCTGACCCACCCACTGTTAGTGGAATAGATAGGCACCCTGAGGCCATGTACCACTCCCATTCAATTTAAACTCCCCAAACCTGCAAACTTGGTTCAGGGTGCTGAGAGGGAAGTGTCCTTATGCCATCTGCAAAATGCCAAGTGGTAGGTTACCGCTCAGTCAGTGTTTCCCAAGGGAATGAATAAGTGACTTGCTGCCTGCAGACTGAGAGGCCTTGCATGGGAGCTAAAGAGAGCGCAAGCAGAAAGCACTCTACTCTAGCCCCTTCAAGCTGAGATACTCCCTTGCCCATCTGCAGTCACAGGATGAATTAAGTGAGGGGGAGTATTTGTGTGTAGATTGGGCTTGTTATGTACAAATACCTGTTGAGCATCCCTTGGATATAACAGTGCTTCCCAATCAAAGTCTATCAGAATCACTGGGGAACATGTTAAATGCACATTCTGATTATGTAGGTGTGGAGTGCTGGTGAGAACCTCTGTTTCTAATAAACTCCCAAATGATGTGCATGCTGATGGCCTGAGAACCACACTTGGGAGTACTGATAGCACATGGGAAAGTAGCTGGTAGCATCGCTACAGGTGCATTGAGAGCGCTTTCAAGGTATTCACTTCAGGGAGTTTATGGTCTAGGAAAAGAAACAGAGCAGTACACATAAAATGATATACCATTTTGTATCTATATTGATACAATATATATTTGTGTCTGCATCTATATGTTACATATCTATGTTATATATCTATATGTATTTTCTATAGACAAAGAAATTTCCAAAAGGGGAGATTACACTTCTGTTGGATTTGGGGTGGGCAAAGGATCAAAGTCCTGTAGAGAAGGTGGTAATCCAGTGGACCTTGGAGGGTGAAAATGACCCATCTGAATGGACCTTTTAGAGAAGGCACAGAGGACGGTCACCATGACTATGAGCCAGCATCCAAGAGTTTGGTTGTGGAATGAAGTCGAACCTGCCTATCCTCTGGAATGGATCACTGCAGGCCCTGGTGCCTAAACTGGCACATAGTAGGTCATCGATGATTTCTTTGAGCTGATTGCTAAGTCATTCCAGAACATTGAGTTGGAGAATTTGTTGTAATGAGACTGGTTGAAATAGGATTTGAATAGTATTGCCTTTCGTGCTTGCTTTTTTCAGGGTGACTACAAAATGCTTGGAACGATGGAAATTCTTCTTTATACTCAACTTTTACAATTTTTGTGGGAATGACTTATTTTTTCATTGTTAGGAGCTGCTATGCAGCTGTGCCATGTCCCAGGGGTTGTGGTCTGCTGGGATCTGATAGATTTGCAAGGAGAATCCAGAGGGTGACCTTATCTCTCTTGGTTTTGTTGCTTTTTTTTTTCTTTCTAGTTTCACTCATAAAAATGACTTTGTGTTCCAGAGAAAGGAGCAACTGGCACAGAATAGAAAGTTCCATGTTTTATCTCATCAAAGTGCTGGCAAATTCATCCACTGATGCCTGTGGGGAAACCTCAGGGCTCTAATTACATCGCTTCCTCACTAGGGAAGTAAAGTTAATATTTCTTTATATTCTTGCTTAAATCTGGGAGGGCTTGGGAGAAAAAGAATAATATGATGTGGTATTTGCTTAGGGTCTTTCTCTAAAGGGCCTCAAATGCTTCACTACAGTCCTTGCATTAATGCTTGGGCCATGTCTGTGGTCAGCTAAGGGACAAGTTTGAGATCTTGCCAAACTTGTGCTCCCGAGGGTGAAGCTGTAGTGCAGAAGTGGGAGATGAGGGTTAGGTCCTGTGACCTGGATGGCCATATTTGATATGGTTATCGCTTTAGTACCTGCATCGATTTGTGGTCCCTAACATCCCCCAACCTGCCATGCCTACCAGCCCAGCCTACCAACTTCCCTTCTGAAATGAGGAAGCTGCAAGGGAAAAGAAGCCAACCACCATTTCAGTGACTTACCTCAACGTGATGTAAGCAGTGCTGGCTTTACCCTGCTTCCTAGAACTTCCTCCTTAAAGTGAAAAGTGGCCAGCACTGAGTTAGTCTTTGCTTCGACCAATATCGGTTAAGACAAAAAGCCAGTACATTAAAATGTGAAGCATCTAAATAAAGAAAAAGGGCTGCAGCAGAGGCCAAGCATAGAAGCCATCCCAAAGTTGCACAGTCTTTGTTTTTTCTGAATTCTTTCTTTGGCAAGATTTCTTTGTCCATCCATAGTAGCACTTTGGTGATAGGATGCAGGTCAACCTCTCTTTCATGGGAAACCCCACTCTACCTCCCTAGGGCTTGGTATCTGAGCGGCTTTCTGGGGTCTAATGTTCAGCACCAGAACCCCTGCTTTCTCTTCTTAGAAGGAGATGTGATTGAATACAGCAACCTCTCCCTTCCCCCAGATTATTTTGTACCCTATTTCATTCTGGTAGCAAAAGAAGAAAACAAGATTTAATAGAATGTGGTCATCTTACAACCCCAGGGCTGCCAGAGTAAATGGGACGTGGATCCATTTTGGAGCCTAAGGTATAGATATGCTATTTTTGGCAGCCTTTATTATTTGTGTTCTGGCTTACAAAGTG